TTGGGCCTCATTTGGGGCTCGTTTGGGGCCTCATTTGGGGCTCATCTGTGGGCCTCATTTGGGGCTCGTCTGTGGGCCTCATTTGGGGCTCATCTGTGGGCCTCATTTGGGGCTCGTCTGTGGGCCTCATTTTTGGGTCTCATTTGGGGCCTTGTTTGTGGGCTTTGTTTGGGGGCTTATTTAAGCAGTTTTATTTAGTTCAGGATGGGAACTAAATAAAGGGTGTTTCTCAGTAAGCGTTCTTGTGTTCTTGTTGCCGAAGACCAGCTCCAATACTAAGAACAGAAGTACAGAGGATGGTAAAAATCCCCGGATGTAGTTCTTGCCCTGCCCCAGGGTGGCGCTGTTCCCCCGCATCAGGGACTATACTTTTGGTACTTCAAGAAACCACCAAAAGTATGGTACTTCAAGTTGTTGCTTTTCCACTGACGTAAAAACTGGTACCAACGCTGAATGACATCACAACACGAGGCGGATATTTTGTACTGATTTTAAAAAATGGCTACAGTATATTATACAGCTTGGCGATGTGCAATATTAATACCAGCATCGCATGTTACACACATGCAACTCTCACATTGCTAGTTAGCTAGATTAAGATCAGGCTTTTTCATACCTTCATACTGTACGGACTTTATAGCGCAGGGAGTTTAAATTTCTCTAAAATTACCTAGCAAGTTATGCAATTTTAGTGATTATTCCTGTTTAAGATTATCTAGTATATATAGTTTATATATAACTAGTATATATAAAAAAATCAGTTGAAAGTTTACCTCCGCTGCTTTTGCATGAGCGCTGCATGCATTCTCCGAGACAATCATTTTCATCCTTGCTGTTTAAATCACTCCTTGACGGGAGTAAGCACTTTGTTGAACTTCTTTTTTTGTTTTATAATTACTCTAATATTTATTACAACAGAATCACATTGCAATATTTGGAAATCTTCCAATACCGTGTTACCCAGGTATATTATACAAAATATTTTATTTCTCGTCACACCATCCTGGTCTTGCATCTGTTCTTTCGACCAGATTGCAGTTAAAGCTTTGATCTCTACAATTGTCCATGCATCCATTATTATTCCTTTTTTCTTTTGCTTCGTTTATCCTTGTTTCTTGAGTTTGCAACTTTTTTCAAAATGGCGTTGTGTTTCACTCTATTTGCATAACTGATAGACAGAGAGAGCAGTTTCAAGTCCTACCCCAAAGTACCAAAAAAGTACCCCACTTGGTTTGGCACTTTAGGTACTGGAACTTTTGGTTCTGGTACTCGACCAGAAGTCAGTGGAAAAGGGAAAGTAGTGAAAGTACTGTACCAAAAGTACAGCACCTGATGTGGTGGAAGATCGCCCCAAATATCAAGGATACATCGTTTGCATCCCTGCCAAACAAGGCCAATACCATGATTTACTGCACCCCAGTTTGCATTCTTGGTATTGAGAAACACCCAATGGAAGGTCCCACGTCACACTCCGGTTCCCCGGGTCCCACGTCACACTCCGGTTCCCCGGGTCCCACGTCACACTCCGGTTCCCCGGGTACGGCACACTCAGCCAATGCTGGGAGACACATTACTCGTATACCTTTTCCCTTCAGTTTTCATAACCATGGCAACACCTTCCCTAAGCCACCAGGGTATGTTTTATCTCCCCATCTTCACATTGCCTGTGATAATCGGCATCACTCGCACATCCATCCATCTCCCAGCCGCTTATCCCTGCCAGGGTCATGCAGCGGCCTGGAGCCTCCACAGCAGAGCAGGACATTAGCAATAATGATTTTAATCAGAATTAATAATAATAATCATCACCATCATCCTGATCACTATAACCACCGTCATCATTCTTTTAATTATCATTAAACATGTAATTTGGGCTCCTGTTGAACCTCAGCCGACATCTCCAATGCTGACTGGAGACAGAGATTGGATGAATAAAAATAAGAAACTACATTGTAAAACCACCACAAATTCAGCTTTTGCTAAAAAATTTAAAATAAATAAACTAACAAGCACATGAACAAACAAATAAACAAGCCAGTCACGGGTCTGGCCCCCCTACTTTCATACTTGGTAATGCGACAGAAACAGCATGAGGGGTATCATTAAGGACTGGGGGGAGGGGGGGGAGGGGGTATCATATCCTGTTAACCAAGAAAAGATTATGGCAGAGCTTCCTGGAGCCCCTGCTGAGGGCTCGCTGATGGTTGCTGCTGCTTTCTCCCAACAAAATCGGATTTCTGTGGCTT